ATTCCCTACAAGGGGTGAGGCCGCAGTCCTGGTCATCTAGCCCTTGTGACAACTCTAATCCAACGCTCTGTGTCTCATTTTCACCTCCAAGCTCCGTTCTGCCCTTGTACCCCAATCAGTCTGGGTTCTGTCCTTCACACATGTGTGGAAGGGGAGGAGATCACACACACATATGTTTGGTCTATGCATTGGTTGTGAGCCGTTCCACAGTTTGTAAAAAATATTTAAGATGCCCAAGGAATACAAAATACAGTACACAATTATATAAGTATGCTCATTTCCATATATGCAACAATATATATATATATATACAGCACAGGTTATCAGCTTTCTTACCTGAAGAATTCATATCAACCATAAAGATGCCAACTGTTGGTACCTCCTTGAAATCCAGCACATTTCTTTTGCCTACGGATGTCAGAACAAATCCCTCTTCACTATTACTGCTCCACAGCAAACTGTGCCTTCCAAGCCTATCTCGGCCAAAGTACAAATGTTGCCTCTTTACATCCAGATAAATAAAAGCATATGGTCCTTGAATGCTTGATAGAATCACTGGAATTTCTGTTCCATTCCCTTTGGAGAAAAGCTGACTTATCTTTACAGTGTCTGATAAGGTTTCCTGGTTTACCTTTGGTAGAAACAAAGGAGGGCATACAATATTTAACTCATATGTTATGCATAACTGTACAATCCTCCTAATATATATAAATATGATAATGATAAATTACAATGACATGAAAATTAAAAAATTGCAATCCTTCAACATAATCAGATAGGTAAATGTAAACCTGGGGAAAATCATACAGCCTTCTGCAAAACTACAAGCTAGGTATTTCACAATATAGATGTTGTTACAAGTACATATTTGCATCCTGGAAAAGTGCCACACGTATCCACAAGATATGTTGTAAGGAAATATCTTTGCTTACGTACTTACTCATGGAGATGGGCCCTTCTGGAGGAGCAGCCAATTCTGCAGCTACTCAAGAATTTCCCAGCATTTTTTGGAACCCAAAGGTTCATTACCGTGTTCACAAGAGCCCTCCACTGGTCCCTATCCTGAGCCAGATCAATCCAATCCATACCATCCCATCCTATCTCTCTAAGATCCATTCTAATAT